TCCAAGCAGAATGAACGGTTGGATAAGGGGAAGTATGTAAGTTTTATGTTGTAAGGGAAGCATAGAAAGCTTACCTTTTTTTATTTGGATGGACATTTGTTCATTGTTAAGGACAAGTATTAATCTGATATTGCAAATATTGGAATGAAGGAGGAGTTAGTAATAAGTAACAGCCATGAAAGAGATTGAGGATTTCCACCCAGGTATTTTGATTAGCACTATGTTATGATCCATTTCTAGCCAGTCATGGTGATTCTGTTCATTCGAAAATAATAGCTGGCCCTGTTCTTCGTGTAATTATGGTTCTTATACAGGTTCTTCGTGTGGCAAATATTGGGGATTCTGGCTTTCTTGTTCTAAGAAATGGTTCTATACTTAGAAGATCATCTCCTATGGTACACGCATTTAATTTCCCTTTGCAGATAGGAAGTGGAGATGATCCTTCGCCACTAATAGAGGTATGTCAACATTCAAGTTGTTTGGTTTTTTTATTGCATGGCAGCAAAGTGCCATGTATTTATTTGTGGATTGAAGAGTCTGTTTATTACTTGATTGGCACATGACCATAGTATCGTTGTTTTTTTACTGGGGTTGATTCTGGATGTTTTTGTTTCAGACTTACGAAGTTGATTTAGAAGAAGGTGATGTGATCATTGCTGCAACAGATGGCCTTTTTGACAACCTGTATGAGCAAGATATAGCAAGCATTGTTTCTGATGGCTTACAAGGCAGTTTAAGACCTGAGGTATGTCAATCAATTCAAGGATGATGTACAAGCCTTTGACTTTAATCTTGGTATATGAGAAAAATGGTTAGGTTTCTCTTCTTGCCTCTCCCTGATGATTGACATCGACAATCAGCTTTGTCTGGACCAAAATCTGCAAGGAAATTATTCGTAATGGCTAGTTAATTATCAAAATATTTGTTCATGATGGCAATGAAGCTTTTGTGATAGGATCCCTGGATCAGTTTTTCTGTTTTATGTGCATTTAAATGAAAGCACAAGTTTTTTAAAAGAGATGCACTAATGAGTTTTTTTGGCTGGGAATAACTTTTCTAGATAGTAATATACTTGTGTAGGTACTGATAAGTGATAATCAATGGACATTTTCTGTCGCTGACAGGAGATCTTAACATCCATTGTAAACTCCCTCAAGTAAACACTTTTGGCTATTTATTATTAGTTTTGGAAAGAAAAACTCTCAGCTATTGTGGCATTTTGAAAAGCTCAAGCAGCTAATCTTTGGGAGCTGGTGAACGATAGCTGAATCAGTTTGTTTAGAAGGAGTGGAACCAGAGGATCACATAGATTTGCCATTGTGTTACCTTAGGTTTCAAATATGTGATACCTAAGGAATTTCTCGAAAAAAGAAAAAAAAAATTGCTAGGGAGTAATTGAAGCAGAAGAGTAGGAACTCAAAACTCATCTTTTCCATCATATATAGCTCATTGAATTTATATCATGTACATGGGCATTAGATGTAGATGTCTAAATTTTTTTGGATAAAGGTCCTGACACAATGCCAACCATCTTATATTTACTGGCATTACCCAAACCCAAGCTAAACATTCCCATGCTACTTCCCAGATGATTTGTAATTCTGTTCCCCTAGCCTGCTTCCACCCCACAAACTTTTTCCCTGGTACTTCGGAAAGTACTTCTGTTGCAACCAACGTCAAGTGATCTACAGAGGAAGGTACCAGTGAGACTAAAAGCTTCAAGATTTAGCCTCCCTTTTCTTACCCCATAGAGTATTATAGTGAAAGAACAAACAAAGTATATTTTTTCTGCAGTTTCAGTGGAAGAGAAGAAAGGATATTACTTTCTTATGTATAGCTAGAGAAAAGCACAAATCAAGGGCATTGATTACCCAAGCATGGGTTTCAACACGTACTCTACACACCCTAGTGGTAATGATTATGTCTAGATCTTTCTTGAAGTGGTGTGGTTCTCTCTCCAGAGTTTGAAAGGGTTGGTATATTTGCTTCAGTTGGTTGATATTGATGAGAAGCTCACTATCTGCTCCCTTTTCAAATTCTTATATTGGGCCTAGGAGGTTTAAAGATATTTCTGAGTTGCAATGAGTGATAACAACACAATATGGAAAGTCAACACTATGAGATGGGTCATATAGTTTCTCAGATCCCGTCGCTAATTGACTCAGTCTTTTCTCACAGTTCCTGCTGATTACCTCTTTGTCAACAAGAACTTCTATGCTTGCATTAAGGGCCTAGCTCTTAACAAATAAATGCTGGTGGTCATTTGTGATGGGTTATATACGTTGGTCATGCTCTTGTACTTGGTTAACCCATTTACCTGAACACCATCTCCTGCATAATCATATCTCTGGACTATTGAGGGCTTACTACCCTAAACCATCCTCTCTGACCAACTTACCAGCTGGTCCTCACAGATCCACTTTCCTCTTTTTTGCTTATTTTGAGTACTTATACTATGTAGAAATGCTAGTGAAAGACAAAAGGGATGACTAGTAAAATGCTAGGAGTGGGAATTTAATGCCTATTTTTTTCATTTTATGAATCCCAATGATAGAAGCCACGGCTTGGGCATGGACTCGGGCCCTTGGCGGTTCAAGCAACCTGGACGAGTGTAAGTCAACTCGCTTAAATCCGCACCGAGCTGCCTGAAGAGGCAAAAAATTCCCCCCCCCAAAAACATAGAAGGAAACAATTCTGAAAATTTGGAAAAAATAGGGGAAAAAATGAACAACATAAAAGTAAGTAAAATATGGGAAAAAAAAGTTATCAAAAAAATAGAACAAAGAGAAAATTGGTTAAATATCTTTTTGTCAGAAAAATGTTAGAAATCCTAAGAAATATTTTAAGAGATAAAAAATCATAAAAATAGAAAACGTGTGTATAAAATCAATTATAAATCAGTTATTATTGATTTAGCCAAAGATTGAACCAATTCTATATTATAAATATATTATATATATATATATATATATATATATTTCCCGAGTTGGGGGGATGTTCCGGACTCTTGGCAGCCTGCCGAGTACAAGTCGACTCACTGAGTTTTCTTGTACTGCTTAATACAAACTGCTAGCTACCATCATGTATGTTGGAGAATGACTTCAGAAATATGTTTTGTTCTATGCACAGTAATATAATTGAAGATTACATAATATTCAAAATGGCCAAAATTTATTCCTTACAATTAACAGGTAAGAGTCATACTGGCAAACTAGCTGATCCAATGTCAGGTTTGTCTTCGTTGCCTAGCATTGCAGTATATGTTATATTGATGAGATGTCCCTTGATGCCTGTCAAGAATTGATTGGAGTCACCCCATCTTCAAGGTCATGAATAGCTCCTACGACTATCTGGAGAATCCAGTTGTTGACCAACTACTGGTTTTAGGTGATCCATATAAATGCTCTCAAATGGATATCTAGGATGGGTATAGCTAGAGGTAGATTGTCAGCCATAGTTTTGTGGAATGACAATGTCTTTTGTTTGAAACTATCTAATTATTGGTCTAAATTAACATCACAGCAGCAAAACCAGAAGAAATGCTGGTGGTTAAAAATTATTTTTGCATTTCATGGGATTCTGACCAAAATTTTGGGTCTCCTCAATGAATTAGGTGGAAATTCTTTACTTATTTTACAGTATCTTTTCACGTTATATGTTGTATTTTTGGTTATTACAAAGACATTGAATGTAGTCTTCTCCAAAAAACAAAAAATAAAAACAAAAATAAAAAATAGAAGAAAGAAAAAGAAAATAAGATGAGAGAACTTAGTTATAAAAGAAATTTTAAAACTTTCTACTAAATCTTGTACACACAGAGTTCCATTGCACATCTGTTTCGTGTGAAAATATTTGTCACGAAATATTTTAACATGAAAGAATTCCCTCATGTAGTTAAGCATGGGAATATTTTCATGTGAACCAAACATGCCCCATATGTAGAAAATTCATTCTTTTTTGGAACGCATCTGCATTGTAAGCTTTGTTTTTTGTGGATCTCCACTAGTGCTCCAATCCCTTGGACTTCTGAAAATTTTATGATATCCTGGGTTCTTGTTCCTGAACATCCCCTTGGTTCCTTTTTTCCTGGTGATATGTTGATGGTCAACAGGGTGGAAATGGAACCCTTGATGTCAAATTGTGGTCCTCTTGCTCCTATTCTTGCTCTTGCTTTTGTAAACTAAGACTAGTATAAAATGTCAACAGGTTTGTCACACTACTTGGCGTTCAAAAAATTACTTTGAGGTTTGGGACCTAGGTTTGGATAGAGGTTTAGTGAATTTAAAAAGAGAATTATGGTAAAATTAGGTAAGTATTATGAGATAGTGGTAAAAAAAGGAGTTCAAGAGATTTTATGATCCATTAAGTACATGCTCTCTCAAATAAATATCATATTTCGTATGTTTAAAAATTTAACATTTCTCTTTTATTTCTTAAAAATATTCTAATTTTTAGTAGAGGATACGTTTCTCAAAAAACATATTCTTATAAAAATTGCTAGACTTTCTATCAAAAGAGTAAGGCTTTGTAGGTCCTGATCTTGTGGGAGTGACGTTACAATTTGCTCCCACGGATGCATGTATACAACCGTTGCCATTCCCACCACAAAAGTATTAATGCATTTACTGTTCCCACGACAAAAGTATTAATGCATTTATTGTGGTACGGTCCCATGTGTCCTACGATTAACTACTTAATTTTTCAAAAAATACCACTATTTTAAAACCAAACGAAAACATAGTCCTCTACACTTTACAATGCAAATAATATATTGCTCATAATTTCTTAAAAAGCAACATACTGTGAAAGGAATTTGAATTGTATAGTAAAAATAAAAAGAAACTCCATTTAAATAAATTTCTCATTTAATTTATTTATAAATATTTTATTATAAAGGCTAGAAATTTATAGAAAAGGTTAATTCTTGAAAGTTTAAAATTTATTTAGAATAGTTTTGTTCTATGGGCATAAGTTTAAAAACTCACTTTTTAAAAATTTTTGATTAGTAAATTTAGATTTTAACTATTATAAAATAAAATTTATAATTGAGGAATATTATCAATTAAATTCAAATCTATAAGTAGCCTTCATAACTTTAAAAACTCACTTTTTAAAATTTTGATTAATAAATTTAGATTTTAATTATTATAAAATAAAATTTATAATTGAGAAATATTATCATTTAGTGTTAATATACAAAAACAAATTCAAATCTATAAGCAGCTTTCATCACAAATAGCCACAGTGGACACCTAAACTCATGACACAAATTGAGCAATTAGCATAACATAGTGTCACCACAAACAAAACGCATTGTATTGGTCTATACAGTAGCATACTTAAGATTAATATAAAAAAAAAACACTTTTTAAAACAATTGTAGCCAGCAGATTAGCTATACATTGTAGCACATTTCAAAATTTTAGGTCACTACTTCATAGACGTAGGATGGTCACAACTTACTTTAAAGGATTTGGGAGTACCTTCGTACATTTTCATGCATAAAAATGGATGTCCGCTGCTGAAAGTTCTATTGATTACTATGAGGAAAAACATTCATAAAAAATTAGCGAGAAAGATTAGTGTTAAATTTAAATTTAGGATTATAATTAAAAGTCTATAATTGAGTAATATTATTGATTAACACAAAAAATAATATGAAATTTATGAAATTTTTAAGTATTTTTAATGACAAATAGTCACTTGGGTAAACTTGAAGTTCCGAACCATGTTCTATTAGAAATT